TATAAGCAATGTCTGTTCTCTTATTCGATTCAGATATTACACATGTATCTACAGTTTGATTTTCTTTCACTAAGTAGCTTAGAGATCTATTTATGCTTTTGTAAATCTCAAGCTTAACTGTTGTACATCTGAATATTCATGGCAAGAGCATACGATATACATTAGGTATTCAAAAATGTTGCTACTGGTTTCATCACTATTCCAAAATAAACAAACCGACATTGCTCTGCCATCTTGTCTGCTGAAATAAAGTTCAGTTCTACTCGATAAAGGATATTGCTGTCTTCTTTTTAGACCTGCAGGAAACAACAACAACAAAAGCCAAAACATGATGCCTTGGGTGGCATTCTCATAAGTAGTGTTCAAAAACAGACCAGGTGTATTTCTAACCCTACAAGAAGAAAAACAATAAGAACAGTAAAAAGCTGCAATTGACTCAAACATATTTTATGTCTGTCTGCAAACCGCAAGTAGCATTGACCACCAGCTGAGGATAGGCTAAATCAGAGTTGTAACAATGAAGCAATCGTTGTATATTTTTCCTCAAGCATCTAACTAAATATCTCTATTTTGTGGAGAGCTTGGATTTTATTGCTTTGTGTGTGTGTGTGTGTGTGTGTGTTGGAGACTTAATAGGAAATGTATGAGAGGCTGAGAGATAACCTGTGTTTCTAACTAGAGACCTGCCATTAGACACTCATTAGTAGTAATAGAAATATTATACATGGGAATATGTTTGAAGGCGTTTTTGTAACTATCATGTTTTCTCTACTGTATATGGTCACTAGCCACATTATAAAATATATATAAAAATATCAACTAAGAGTTGATATTTTATAATGTTCTGTTATTGAATGCTGTAGAAGATTTTATAATGTTCTACAAATTCAATGTAGCAACCTAAAGCTTAGACTCCCGAGTTCAACATTGTAGAGAGTAGGCCATTAACTGTTACTTAAGCACCAACCAAAACTGCAGGCTTTAGTTTAGAAAGTAACTACAAAGCAAGTAGTTGATCTGAGTTTGGATGGTTTTGTTTTTACCTTTTGCTTCATTACCACCTTTGGTACATTATTGGATTGTTTAAAGTACCTGTAGTCTCAGACTCTTGGGTTTCCATTAGATATTGTCTCATTCTTACTCCTTATTGAGAAACACAGGTTCTGAAATCTGTGTCATTTTCTTCAGGCAGGTCAACGTGGTTAGTGTGCTAATGACTACTTTTAAAAGGCACTATAAAGACATTTTGCTGCTTATGTGTGTTTCATATCTGTGCACATCTTCTGCCTGTGCAGAAAAGCGTGAAAGAAGAAGGCTCAGTCAAATCAATAAGATATTGAGTCATGCTTATTTGGTATTCAAAATGAAAGATACTTGCAAGCTTTGCCTCAGTCTTTTTTCTTTCTTTTCTTTTTTTTGGGGGGGGGGTTGGCTGTTCTTTGTGTTTGTTTTCTGGTACTGAGGATTAAACTGCAGACCACATACATGCTAGGCAAGCCCTTTCCCATATGATCCATGCCACCAGCCATTTTGTTTGTATTTTATTTTTGATATATGTATACCTAACTTGCTTCATATTAGTTTCATACTCATGATCCTCCTGCTTCTGTCTTCCAAGTAGCTGGGATTACAAGTGTGGATCTCTAAATCTGTCTTTTCCTTCAGTTTTCTGAAATGTTTAGCTATGAACAGTGTAAGAATATAAAAGTCTTTATACAAGTTTTATGTTCTTTACTGTATTTCTTTCTTTCTTACACAAATAGCTTGCAGCATCAGCATACAGTCTTTCATAACAAACACACACATACACACAGACATACACATGCATATGTGTGTGTGCTCATACATACTCACACTTACTTATCAGAAGCTAAGTTCCATTAGAGGAGGACTTGCATGATAAATTCACAAAATTGTTCCCAGATTTTAGAACAATGTGTAGCCCATAGTGTATGTCAACACACATTTACTAAGTATTTGCTAGCACTATTTACATCATTATAACTTGTATGTAAACAGTAGTTACTGACAAAAGATTGTGTTCTGGTTTTCCCTCCACTACTGAAGTATTTACATCATCTAAGACTTAATATTTATGCTAATCATTAGGCTTTTTGGAAAAAGTATTTTCTTTGATATTATTTTTCCCTTCAATGTGAGATCAATAGAAATTTTTGAGACAAGATTAAAAGATTACAAGATATAAATATTAAAAGTAATTTTGAAGAGGGGAAAAATTTTGTGTGTAACAGTGAATGGACACTGAAATGGGAAAGTGAACCTTTTGAGTTGAGCGGAAAGGTTATTCAGCACTCTATGTCCTGCATGCAAGTTTGTACTATGAATTTTCTTTGCTAAATAAATATAATATTGGTGGAAGTTGGTTTTGTAAAGAATCATCTTTGCAATAGTAGTTTTAATCTCATATTATTTCTAAAATATGTCATGCACCTTGTAAATAATATTTCTGATGCCTAATCTGCTCCTTTTGTGGCCTTCAAACTCAACTAAGGCATGGTAAATGAAATCAAATTGTGTACTCTGTGTGGGTACTGAATCACAACATAGCATTTTCATTACAACGTTGATGTCAGTCTTTACTAAGTATTATTGCTCCATCATCCTGTACTCCAGTGAAATTCAACTTTAGTTGGCTATAAAGTCTCTTTCTTCAGTGGAGGTGAAAGTATTTTAGAACATCATTTCAGTGTTGTGAGTTTATTGAACAAATAATGATAAAGTAGTTCATTCTTTTTATAGCAGGCAAGAAAATAGAAGTACAGAGAAAGTCAATTGTGTGCAGCTTTTTAAATGATTTTTAAATGATTAAATCATTTCTATGTCAGTGAGATCAGGATTCCCAAATCACAATGTAGTACTTAAAGGACTTATTGGTGCCTAAGACTAATCAAAACATTCAAAATCAAATGTTCACCTCATGTTGCTAGAAAGGGTAAAGTTGATAAATCATTTCTAACTGAATCTTAAAGCTCCAAAATTTGCAAGTCAAATTATTCATATAAATTATAATTGGTAGCCTTTTGTTTTTGTTTTGTCAGTAGTGAAGCTTGAACTTAGGGCCTGGGTGCTGTTCCTGAGCTCTTTGCTCAAGCCTTGTGCTCTACCACTTTGAGCCATAGTGTCACTTCTGGTTTTCTGGGTATTGACTGAAAATAAGGGTCTTATGGACATTCCTGCCTGGGGTTGGCTTTGAACCATGATCTTCTGATTTCAGCCTCCTGAGTAGCTAGAATTACAGGTGTAAGCCACTAGCACCCAGCAACTGCTAGCTTTTTATAATGGTTGAAAGTGTTAATTTATATGAAGTAATAGTGAAATAAATTGAAATCCAATGATACGGGATAATTGTGATAATGATGAATTTCTAATTGCAACAAATTCTTTGGGTATGAAAAGAACAAGAGAAAATAATTTTAAAAAGTCTAAAGAGAGTATTATGTTCAAGAGAGGAAAGATAATTATACTAAAGAATATTAAGGATAGTGGTTCAACCATAAAAACTGGATATTGTCCTATCAAATTTTCAATTAGAAGCAAACACTAAATTTAAATATATGCTAACCATGGTCTATTTACCATGTATTTTTTAAAATAATTATCTGAGGAGATGGCTGAGATTTCTTGAAAATTCTTTCTTGTTTTTGCCTTAGTTCAGAGTATCCCATGTGTGTTTTTTTAGAATATGAAATTCACAGTTAAACTCAGATAGGGAAGTGGGCCAGAGAAGCTCAGCAAATATTACTTATCTAGACCCATCTTACAGAAATTTCTATATACTATTTGGTACTTTTAAGGCCTCAAGAAAAGACCTAAATTGAGAAACTTGTTTTGCTTTGTTTATCTCAACCTATACCAAAAAGGTTTTACTGATAGATAAGTGTATACTGACAGTTCAGGTACCTTGATGCAGAAGCATTGGAAGAAGTGACAATGATGAGAATGGGTTGAAGAAGGAAGAGGTAAACCAGGTGCTGAAGATGGCTCATGCCTGTTATCCTAGCTATTCAAGAAGCTGAGATCTGAAGATCTAGGTTTGATGCCATCCCAGTCTGGAAAGTCTGTGAGGCTCTTTTCTCCAACTGATGAGCTAAAAGCCAGAAGTGGAACTATAGCTCAAGTGTTAGAGCACCAGCCTTGAGAGAAAAAGCTACAGGATGATGTCTGGACCCTGGGTTCAAGTCTTAGTAATACTCCACCTCCCCACCGTACCTCCTCCACACAAAGAAGAAATATAACTGGGCCAACATAGATTTTATGAGTAGACTATTTACAGTTTCTGGGTTCATTTCAATAACTTATTTTCTTTCCTCTTTGTAGAACTTACCAATTAAACATATTTTGTATGCTTTTCACATGTAATTTTCCAAGGTTTTTAAATAATTTGTACATGATCGTGCAACTGGATGTGTTCAATGTCTTTTGGGGACTATGAAAAATCAGTGTTTTAGGTAACATTAAATTGTATTTTATTGTGCAGAAGTCACTTTACTGAGAGTGAGACATTTAACGGAAAAGGTTATTGCTTAAGAATCAATGTGACTTCAGATTTTTGTTTTACTGGAATGTTCTAGAATTGCTATGGTCACTTTTAATAATGTTTTTGAAAACAATGTGTTAATGTTAGAATAACAATGACATTTCTCCTTTGTTCCATCTCAAAATGTAATGCATTTAATTTATTGGCTAGTAGAAGTTTTTTATGTTCTTGTTTGCATATCATGTATTTTTCTAGTCTTTTATCTTTTAAAACTTGAGGATGGAAAACATGTCATTTGAAAACTTTTTTTTTATATGTTGTAAAGGAGCTCAGATGCCTGGATATTTGATTTATTTATGATAGAGCATGGAGCTATTTTAAATCCAAGCTTTGTTGAGAACACAGCTTTGCTAATATCTCCTGTTAAATGTGTAAGTGTTGCAACTGTCAATGAAATATGAGACATGTTAGCAGTGACATTTTTAAATGGATCTCATTGTAGGGGAAGCCAGTGGGAACACCAGATGCTGGTGCTTATTTCCGAGTGCTTGCAGAGCATGGGGTAGCTGCCTTGTTTACAGCGCCTACTGCAATTAGAGCAATCCGTCAACAGGACCCTGGGGCAGCCTTGGGGAAGCAGTACTCTCTGACAAGGTGAAGTAAGCATGCACAGGGCAAATTATGCAAAAAGCCAATCAAAATGAACTAAAGACCATACCTTGTATAGTACTGAGCCAAAATATTCTGAGAATTGTTAAGAATGGCTCTGATAAGTAGAACTGAAAATAACTGGGATTACTAACAATGTTGTGGAGACTTTTAAATTCTAGAACATCTTGATTCCAATTACAATTAAACTCTTACCAAAACATTTTTCTCTTAAAAACTCTCCTGATTGTATTTTTCCTTCAAAAGTAAAATGTTGATTATGATGTAAAATACAAGTTATCTCTGTATCTAGCCATCTTTTGGAAATGGAATGGTATAGATATGATTTGAATTCATGTACACAAAAGAAAATATGAAAGTAGTCCTTCATATTAGATGAAATTGGGTGAAGGAAATCATTTCACTTTTGCTTTGTAATAATATGTTGTTAATGGTTTTGATATTTTTGCTAGTTTATTGACATTCATTTTAGTTTAATGATATGTACATTCAAAGATAATTATAGCACTTTGAATCTTCAAAGCAGTTTTAGACATCAGTTTTCATTGAACATTTTGATATAGGTCATTGCTGTCATGAACTTAAAAAAGAGACTTTTTTGTAAGGTTCTTCAAGTTAAAAGTAGACTTCAGTTAAGGCAGTTTTTAAATAATTTTTATAATGTATTCAATGACGCTTTTTAAAACAGAAGTGATTTCATAAAATGAGTCATCCATTGTAATGTTTTGTTTGCCTTCTCTTTGCATTTCATTTTCAATTCATTTTTTCTCAATGTCGGCCTGAAGGATAGAAAAATAGACTTTAACAAAAATATCTTAGAAATTATACTGTCTCCATATGTTCACATTGTTCCAGAGGTTTGAATAAATAGTGATTATTGTCACATGTGTCTCTTTACTGACTAGAACACTCCAATTCTAGCAAAACACAGTTTGCTAGAAGCTGTGCATCTAGCAAACTGAGGCCTCACGTTTGTTTTCTCATTTGTATTTGGGTTTTTGATATTTCCTCAAGAATAATGATTGCTCACTGGGTTATCACACTTTGCAAATGAACATATATATATATATATATATATATATATATATATACACACACACACACATACATATATATATGGAATGTCAGATTTTAGTGTAAGCATAATGGCAAAAAATTCCCTTGAATGATAGCCCAATGTTTTTCTTTGCAATGACATTATTCACTATGATGTGTGTAATTATTTTTAATGGGTATGCACGGATATTTAACATATTCAGACTATTCTGGTCTATAAAAAATGCAACTTGTTTCATACCAGGGACTACTAATTTAGTCACTATAGGTCAGAATTGTGATTATCTTCATTTACAAATAAATGAAGATAGGTCCACAAATTTTAGTTACTCTTGGCAGAGAGAGTACCTCAAACAATTTGACTGGAACTTAAACCTTTTATCAAACACTATGGATGAATACTAAAGAAAAGCACTCCTTTCACCTAAGGATTTTCCTCTTGTAGACTAAGACAATTTGGAGAAAAAGGGATCTTGAAAGTCACAGTATTAATCCCCAAGCACTGGTGGCTCTGAAGGCTGAGATCTGAGGATCATAATTTTAAAGCTAGCCCCAGCAGGGAAGTCCATGAGACTATTTCCAATTAATAGCAAAGTTAGAAGTGGGGCTGTGTGGCGTGGTTGGCAGAGTAGCAGCCTTGAAAGGAAAAGCTAAGGGATAGTACCCAAGGCCTGAATTCAAACCCAATAATGGTACACACACACACACACACACACACACACACACACACACACACACACACACACACACACACACACACACACTCACTCATTTTATGTTAAAATAAGGGGAATTTAAATCCACAAATGTTAATTTGGATTAGAGGAGGTTGAAATCTAAAGTCTTCATATACAACTATACATTTAGTGCTAAGTTCATGTTCTAGGTATTGACATTCACTGTGGTCTGCCATGTTGTGTTTGTCTTCTGTCACAGAACATCTTACAGTTTGAAGTTTAAAACTGTGTTACATATCTCATTCAATCTTAGTTTCATTAATTTGGGCATTTGTCAAGCATTTCATTACTCCAAATAAATTTACAAGGTACTCAAAATAGGAGTCTAAATGAAACTATGAGTCCATTTTAATATTACAGGAGACTAGACTTTGGAAAACTAGGTTAGGAGTCATTGAATATTATCATCTCTGCTCACAGGTGAGTTACCTTTTCACAAAAAAGCAAAATAACAGACCAAGGATTCCAGCTGGGAAGAGGCAATATTATATGGCATTTATTCTTACTCTATTGTACTTTCTGATTTCAGATCTACAATTTAGTATCCATGTGGCATTAGGAAAGTGATGAGAATTATTTCTCTCTATTCTTCAGGGCTTTTGGGGTTGTTGTTTATTTGTAATTTCAGATTAACAATAGTTTAAGGGTATAATGAAAGGCAAAGGGGTGAGCTTCAGGCTTGGCATTTGAAATGTTTTTCAATGTTGATTAATTAAGTCTAAATTAATTTATTATTTTATTACCTCCTACTTTCTAGTTCTCCACTCATTTGGATTATATCACAGTGATTTATTTTTCCTAGGCTCTTCTAGTTTGATTTTAAGTAAGCTAGAAAAATTCAATGCTGGGAGTTGCAGTCAAGATTTTGCAGCAACTTAACTTTGATGCCTCTCTTCTTTTCCAATCATAGAGTAATGAGAGATAATAAAAAGGAAAAGCAGGATGTCAAAGATGAGCTAAAGCTAAAGGTTTCTGTGGACTAGCAAGGGTGTGGATTTGCAAAGCTGTATGTTTGTCTGAGGCCAGATGCTTGTTAGATGTACAAATAGGCATTGAAAGCATAATGGGGGATTAGAGTCAGCTCTGTACTTGAAGAATACTTGGCCATTAGCCCCACATGTGAAAGGAGGCTGGCAATACACTCTGTCATATGTTTCCTGTAACAGTGACTTCTAGCAAGTTCACAGTGAGGAATTTGAATGAGGTAGGGAGTGACTGGAGCTTGAACTATAGTGCTCACCTATTTTCCTGAACAAGATTCTATAGCAAAATGAGAGATGTCACTGTGGATAAATGATTTTGAACCCTCATTATAACATTGATTTGTAGGACTGATATGTCAACCATGTACCTACCAGACAGAAAACATACCTGAAGAAAACAGAGATTATCTGAGATTGAAAAAATAGAACAAAGAGACACTCTTTTACAAAGAGCTTGGAAACAAAATTCCAAAACATGCAAAGACATCTAAAGCTAATAAAATCAACAGAACATAGATTCATTTCATATGAAATAAATTTTATGGTGTAATCAACTCAGGCTTTATGATCAAAGTCACAGACTAACATATTTTCCATAAAACATTGGAAGCATATGACTACAAATATAAAAATGCAATGGATGGCACAAAATAAACATTTTTCCATAATCATGGAATCTACTAAAAACAGAAGAAAGTATTGAGGAAATGATCCAGAATGTGGCAGATAGAATAAAACAAATTCTAAAAGAAGAATTGGGGAGTTTGAAGAGAATAAGAATGTAAAAGTGTTTTAATAGGAATTTCAGCAAGAAAGAATGGCAAGATGGTTATTTAAAAATAAGAAAGATATTTCAGGAGCCAGTAATTGAGTGTTATGGAATTGAAGAAAAACATAGATTCCAGATTGAAAGGGCTGTTCACATACCAAGCAGGTTACATATAAATAAATTCACTTTGGCATGTCATTTTGAATTTCAGAACATCAATTGAGATTATAGAGAAAATCCAATACACTACCAGAGAGACTCGACAGATCACTCCAGAGATATGTCAGACCAATGCCAATAGATATCAGAAGACAATAGAATAGGACCTTCACAGTGCTGAGGTAGGATAATTAACAAAATTAAATTTTTACTGAGTTGGAAAGGGCAGAATAAAAAATACATTATATTTTCAAGTGGACAAAGCTAAGAGAGCTTAAAATGCAAAACCTTTCCTTTCATAAGGGAAGAATAGATGTAGGTGGATGGTATGGGTTATAAAAACCAAAAAGAAAAATATAAAACAACAAGCATAAAACCCAGCAATGGCAAATATTGAAGAAATATGCTGATGAACATAATTATATAATTAATTTCTACAGAATTATCATGGGATGTTACATTTAAATAAAAAGCTAAAACTAATAAGATGAAGAGGAACTTAGTCAAAGTTAAGGTGATCATGTTTGCTGTTCCCTTTGGTACTACGGTAGATGACCAGCTTTGGGTCTGGGTAATGTGAAAGGGGAGGCCAAATACATATTCAAATCTATTCTAGTATTCTTCTACCTGTGACACTAGTGTTGGAGAAGAGAATAACAATAGATTAACAACTTAATAAAGGGCCACACGTCTATGGAAACCAATTTTCTATAATTACAGGTTCACACCTGTAATCCTAGCTACTTAGGAAGCTGAGATCTGAACATTTTTTCTACACATTTGTTTTTGTTTTTTATCTCTATGTGGCTTGCTTTATTTTGGATTGAAATTAATTTGACAATATGCCAATTTATCTGTTTTCTTTCTGCTTAATTTTCAGCTCCATTTGAGTCTTTAATTGTGCTCTGTTGTATATAAAATTGTGAGAAGGAGCTTAAGTTACCTGCTCATTCTTTTTCTCTTATCCTTTTTTTTCTGCTTTGGATATTATATGTTATCATTTTGTTTATGTTTTAAGTACTAAAATTTTTGGAAAAGATGGATCTTTCCATGAATTACGATCACCTGAATATTACCCACACATTCATTTATCCAGTATAACCTAGGACAAACTCATCCATAAAATTAAGCCCTACCATATGTCAGACATTAGTTACAAGTGACTATTGAGCCCTGAAATTATCTGAATTTTACTAAGACAGTATTTAAAAATTTTCAAATGCTAACTAAAGTTTAAACATATGGTGATCCTTCATAGAAAATGTGTGAAGTTGTAATAGTGCATTGAGTGTTTTACACAATTAACTTGAAACCCTTCTTTGACACAGTTAAGTAGAGTTTTGAAACAAAGAAAGAAAGAAAATCCAGCAATAACTTTGCTAGTGTAGGCATCAGTTGTAGTATTCATTTGTACTTAGAAATAAGTAATGTGATTTTCAATAACATCTTGGTAACTGGGATTTTTTTTTTTTTAGTTACAATTTGGCTATTTTTTTCCTTATCAAGGTCAAACTGTAGCTCCGAGGCCAAGATTATCTATGAAAGTAGAGAAGATGTAAAAGCATTATAATTTGTTAACTATTCATGTAGTAGCCCATTTTAAGATCATGCCCCTTAGTTGTAATATCTTTTGCCCATCTTCAAAGGTGGCTTCACCATCCTTCCACAAGTCCTCTTACTTTTCACAGCTGCAGCACAAAGTGATATTTAATACCTTGGCAATAGTCCTTCTAGCAACACAATCTTACTTTCTGCAGTGTCTTTCCACAGTCTTTCTGTTATCATAAACAAAATCATCCTTCAGAGCAGATCCATCTTTCTAAGATTAAAATTGCCTTTCTTCAGAACTACATCTTGTTTCTCTCACTTTACTTTCAATAACTTTTTATTTTCCTCAAGACTTCATTTTTCTATTTCCCACCTTGCTTTTCCATCACTAGTTCCTTGCCTAGATTTCCCAGTCAGCTTTTCTAGCACTGAGTGTGTGGGGTGGGGTGGGGGCGGGGAGAAGAGGGCTGTGTTATCCCTACACAGACAGCCTCCCAGGCTACTAACGGAGACCATAAAAGCCAACTGGCTGCTTTAAGACCTTTCATTGTTTAGTACTCAAAATTTTCTAAAATAAACATTTTGGCACTGTATTAGCTGCATCCATCACTATACTTTTGTCAATTGCTGTACATTTAAATTGTCCTTTTTTAGCTAGAATGAGTCAAACTGACATAAATTTTGCCAATTCCCCATCTCTTCACTTCATTATTCTGAGCATCTAGCAACTTTTAAATACCTAAAATCCCCAGGGTCATAAAAATGAATGTTCCAGTTTAGTTCATAGTTCCATACAGTATGAAAAATATTATAGTATATAATACGATAGTATGAAAAATACAAATAGCTATTCAAGGAGACATGTTTATAGCAGGATCTGAATGTGGTTGGAGCATAGAAGTAGGATTATTTCAATCCCCATTAATGTTCATGAAATGTTATGACAAATTAAGAGAACAAGAAGCTGTCTTCAGTCACAGATTACATTACTCCAGAGAAGCAGGGAACTTTTTGTTTGTTGAATGGTTTTTACTTTAATGATAATGATTTTACTCCTCATAAATACACTCTCTTTTGAAAGACAGGCCATGAGGGCTTTAAACAGAGAAGAAAAAATAGCCATTGGTTAACTAAAACTACCAGATTCAAACCAATTCTATTTTTTTTTCTTTTCCTGAGAACTTTGTGTTCACTAAACTGGCACTCTACCACTTGAGTCATGCCTCCAGTCCTGCATTTTGATGGTTATTTTGGAGATGGAGTCATTATGATGGTTATTTTCGAGATGGAGTCCAGCAACCAATTCTGTCTGGACAATCCTCCAGATATCAGCCTACTGAGTAGCTAAGAGGATATATGTGAGCCACTGGTGCCTTGAGAGATCTGTTTATCTTTTTTTCTTCTCTTTTTATTTTTATTGTTAAGGTGATGTACAAAGGGGCTTCAGTTGCATAAGTCAGGTAATGGGTACATTTCTTTTGGAACAATGTCACCTCTTCCCTTGTTTTCTCCTAGATTTTTTCCTCCTCCCAGCCCCGTTTGCCCACAAGGTGTATAGCTCTTTTTCAACATAGTGTCTAGCGAGTATCACTGCTGAATTAATTCACCCTTTGTCCCACCATTTCTGTGCTTCCTCTTAACCTCCCCAAATTGGACAAACTTACATAAAAAACAAAAGGTACAGAAATCAAAAACAGTGACAAAGAGGAAAAACAGAAACAAACGGAGAAAAGTAGGGGAAAAATTCCCTATATAAAGTAAAATAAAAAACCTCCCATTTCCATTTTTTGGAGTTCATTTCAATAAACACAATGAATAGAAAAAGACCAAAAAACTACACTTGGACATGATAAACAGGATTCTAAACATAGTGAGACCGAAGGAGGGTATTCTTAGGAGAGGATCACATAGGCTCAATGTGCATATGATCATATGATCATGTAAAATGATGGCTATTGAAAAGATCTATTTTTCTATCTTATTCTTCCTATTCTAGGGCATGATTCTCCCTCTAATGACCTCATTTCTGCTTTGTTCTTTAGTAATCATGTATTTTTATAAGAACTTTTATGATCCTAGAGAACATACTAACATTTACTTTCCTGTTGTTCCCTCTGTATGTCCTAAGAATGAAAGAAATATGTTCTTGAAATCAGTGTCATATTTATGACCAGATTTATTTCCTTAGCTGATCCTTGTGAGTACATTTCTGAATATATTCTTCAGGAAAATGCAGCCATCAAAATTTGAGCTAAAATTATCAGGGCTCATGTCAAGGAGGTAAAAGATTTTCATGTTTGATCACGAGAGGAATATGACAAATACAGTACAAAGATCAACTCAATTGTTCTTTTTTTTTTTTTAAACACTGAGATTCAGTAGCTGTGAATTCTGCTTTGGAAACAGCTCACTCTGTTGCTGTGATGCACATTAGGTTACATTTGGGCCCAAACAAGTAACATCTCTCACTGTTCTACATTATGGAACAGTGGTAGTATCCCTGTTTGTCCCTGATATATTACTGATGCAATTCATTTCGACAATGTATTTCAAATGAAAATTAAATAACTTAGTTTTCAAGTAGTAATTCAAATTCACTCTCTCCTTTACATTCAGATTCAAAACATTATTTGTGGCTGGAGAAAGATGTGACGTGGAGACACTGGAATGGTCTAAAAATGTCTTCAGAGTACCTGTCCTGGACCATTGGTGGCAAACAGGTGAGCATTTCCCAAGCATACACTTTCATATGATTGAAATGCTCAAGTATTCTGCAGTGACTGGCAGAAATCTTAAGCTATGACCACCAGCTCAGTATGCAGATAGTTCTTGTTTTTAGTCAATTTAAGCAACTTTGTGATTGTTAGATTGTCAATAATGTCTTCATAAATGATACAGGCCATCCTTCTTCCCTTGGTCCACTAATGCAGAGCACTAAAGATGTTTTCTTCAGTGTTTTTTTTTTTAAATTTAATTTTATTTTATTTGTGAACATACTGTACAGAGGGGTTACAATTACATGGGCAGGATAATGTGTACATTTCTTAGCAAGCATTGCAGCCTCCTCCTTTGGTTTACCCTTCACATCCCTTCCAGGCCTCCCCCCTCCCCCCCAATCCCAATCCTTCTCCTTCTCCCCTTCCCCCTACCCCCCCCCCCCCCCCACCGACGTTGTAAAGCTCGTTTTGGACATGTCAACTTGTACTTCTCATTGTTGCAACAGGTCCACCTGTATCCTTAAACAACTGGTTTTTCCCCATCTCCTCCACAAGTTATACTGACATCAAATATAGTGAAAGCAGGGGTTATACTGTGGGGGAGGGACATACAAAGCAACAAAGAGATAATCTTATAAATGCGTTAGAAACACATGCATGAAAGAAAAAAACATTAAAGTACATATCTAAGGGTTCATTTTCCTGACATCACATTATCTGACCTTTTCCGCTTGACTCATACATATACTAGATATTGCAAATAAGGGAAACCATGGGACCTATGTTTCTTTGGGCCTGGCTTACTTCACTTAATATAATTTTTTCCAAGTTTTTCCATTTCCTAACAAATGGGGCAATGTCATTCTTTCTGATGGAGACATAGAATTCCATTGTGTATATATACCACATTTTCTTGATCCATTCATCTAGTGAGGGGCATCTGGGTTGGTTCCATATCTTAGCTATGGTAAATAATGCTGCAATAAACATTCTTCAGTGTTTCTTATATCCAACAAGCTACTAAATTTCAGAAGTTGCTTTGTGGTGTCTTCTGGATTCAACCCATCTTCGATTCTACCATTGCCTTTACACTGTGGCTTCATATTATCATCTGCCCTGATTTAAATTGTCCTTATCATTCATTTTGTCATCCCTGTTCACCTGTCCACCCAGGGCAATAATCCCACAGTTCTTCACAGTGTTCTTCCTGTCAGAGGACTCCCTGGCATCCTTTCTATGTCTGACAAAAATCTACTTTCTTCTGACTTATTTTCAAGGAAGAAAAATTTACTTGTCTCCAAAACAATGATCACATTATATGCATATTATTTATTTGCTAATTTAATTTTCTGTATTTCTCATACTGTGGGATCCTTGGCAAACATAATTTCATTGTAAGTAGGTAAAATATAAACTAAGAACAAGCAAATGAGCTTTGTAGGTATATGGGAGTAGATAGTCTATTCTTTGCCTCACTGAGTTTGTAGTTTTACCCAGTTGAACAGTGAAAGTAACTATGAATTATGGAGCATGGTTGCCTTTATGGGCATACCGTATAGTTTGGTTCTAATTAGTTCAAAGAGTTGGACCAATACCTTTATAACACTGTTTTTACTTGACACTGGGTATAGAGGGCAAAGCTTCAAATTTAATTTAGAAAATTAATGAGATTTATTTGTAAATTTGCTCCTAGTTTTAGAATGATCATATTCTGGAAGACCAAAAATTAAAACAAAGTTTTGTGGATTAGATCTTTTTATTGTAAAAATTATACTTTTTATATTATTTTCTTGGATGCTCTCTTTGGAAAAATGTGTTTTCTAAATTACTGATAATATAAAGAATAAAATAAATGATCAGAGCAAGAGATGTACTCCTCACATAACTGGGAATCAGAAAGTGTTTCTTATTCTGTAGCTTTATTTATTAGAGGAAACATTACTTGTCTAAGTACAGATTTGTAACTGTTTAGGAAATATAACACATTGGGAAAAAAAACCACACTATGAATTGATCATAAAAACTGTCTCTGAATAGTATTTATACTATATATATATATATATATATATATATATATATTATTCTCTAAGGAAGTTTTTACTGTTTGTTTGTTTATTTGTTTATTATTTATGTAGGTTGTGGGGTCTGAACTCTGGACCTGGGCACTGTCCCTCAGCTCTTCAGCTCAAGGCTCTACTACTTGAGCTACAGTGCTACTTCCAGCTTTTTTTGCTTATGTGGTGCTGAAGAATCAAACTCAGGGCCTCATGCATGCAAGGCAAGCACTCTACTACTGAGTCACCTTCCCAGCCCAGTTTTTACTGTTATTATCCTGGTCATGAACTCGAGAATATCTTATCACCATTAATGTGATTTTCATGATTTCTCTTATTTAGTCAAAATGGAGTAACTTTACTTAAATGCTTGTCTGAAAATTTTACTCTTGCCAGGTGCCAATGGCTCCAGATACTCAGGAGGCTGAGATCTGAGGATAGCAGTTCATAGCCAGCCTGGGCAGAAAATTCTGTGAGACTCTTCTCCAATAAACTACCTAGCAAAAGCCAGAAGTGGTTCAAGTGGTAGAGCGCTAGCTTTGAACACAAAGAGCAGGAACAGCACCTAGAACACCTAGGCCCAGAGTTCAACCCCCCAGGACCGGCAAAAGAGAGAGCCAGACAAAAAGAGAGAGAATAGTTATGAGTAATAGCTAATATCCTAGCAAACATCAGATAATATTTACCACCAAGTTAAGCTTTGACCAAAGAATATTTTGTGTCACATTTCAAGTTTCCTTCAGGGATCTTCTTCCTTATTATTGACTTGGTAATTTATGTGTTTTATATACTTGCAAACTTATCTGAACCTTCCTTATATGTATGAATAATTCATGAATTTGCTCTTTGATTACATTAATATATGTTTACAAATGAGTTACTTCAAAATTGTGATGTATAATTTGAAATTAGGTAGGGGCATGTTCAGTAGCTTCTAGAACTTATGAATAAAAATGGATAGGTCCTGTGACTTGGTTTCTAACAAGGAATTCCAAAGTCAATTTATTTATATTACCATCTTGTGTTTGTTATCCAAATGTCAATTATGTTAGCAACAGCAGACTTTTACTAAGTTATTCCTCTTTTGATGATTAATATTAGCATTCTTTTTCTATTTGATTTAAATGCTAAGATTCTAAATTGAGAATGAATTTGTGGAGAATCTGGGAAAAGATCAGCTTTCTCTATCCCTCACTGGAGTATTTTAATTAAGACTTTTTGCTGTTCAAAACCATTGGAGCATTCACTTCTTATTTTGGATGGTAATAATATAAACATTTAATATTTCCATGAAAGCAATTGTTCTTTCTGGTTTTAAAGAGGAAGATTGTATCTATTTGATTCATAAATCTGGAAAAACATTGGATTGTCATCCATCCAAAAATTTAACCTTCCAAGTCACTTATCCTTAAAATGATTGAAAACATCTAGTATTGACTGAATTTTCCATTTTCTTCATTTACAGAGATATAGAAGTAGAGATGCTATAATCATAATGGAAAATGGAAAATTAAGAGAATAGTTAAATTTCCCATTAAAATATGCTAATTCATGTTCAGAAATGTTCATGAGCAGCCAGAACTTCATTACTCTCAGTTATAACATCCCTTGATAAATCAATGAATTGCTGTCACTTTTGTAACAAAGAGGAGCTCTTTTGGAAATCAGAGAAGCAGTACAATTTTAAAAGGAAAGACAGCACAGTTCATGGTGCCTTTTCAGAAATTATTTTTGTAATGATAAGAAAGACTAGCAAAATGACTATAAATCCTCTCCTTACGAGTAAATGTTCTAACACAAACATGTTTTCCTTATATTTCAGTGACTATTAAAACTGAAATGTAGTCAACAATATCCTTTCTCGAGATTTCCTGTTTTCTTTCCTCCCTTCCCTTCTAAATTTTTTCCTTTCATTCTAAGGCATATTATCTACTTACAATGATTATAACAAAACATGTTAGATTCTCAGTGTTTAATATTATTTGACTTAGGCAGAAATACTTTATTTTTTCAAGTGGTTTCTATAGGTTCAACACAGAAACTACAAACCAATAATACTTACATTCCACAAAGACTTTTATAAAGAACAATTTATTGAAGGTTTTATTTATAAACAGAATTCATAACTTTCACTGGTATAGTTCCCATCAGGAGATATGGAATGAAATTCTTCCACCTCCCTTTGTACAACTAATAAAGGTAACTACATTTCTTAAAAGAAGTGCTTCCACTGTCCTCCTATTCAGAAAGTGGTAATTAGGTAATGACCACATATTTAAGGAGCAATAAGTAATTATGTTGTTTATTTTATGTCCTTACTTTAATGAGCAATAAAGTTGTATTTTTTTAATAGAAGTAAAACCTAAGGAGGAATTTCAATCAGTAAATGATAGTCACCTAATAAATTGAGACATTGGTGATGATTGAAGTCATTAATTTTACTTTATCTGCCTTGAGTCATCTTTTTTGACTTCTTGTAACCTGGAGTAATCAACATGTTATTCTCACTATCTGAGTAAATTGCTGCAGTTTTAATTCTGAAGTAACAAAAAAAAGAGTCCAAATTCTCCTGGAAGGTGGATTTTGGTAAGTTTCAGCTTTTATTAAAGTGGACCTAAAGGCTGTAGACAACTTTAATCATGCCAGTCTCAATCAAAATTATTGTTCCATAGGGTACACGTAAACTAATTCCATGTTGTAAAAATACATCAAAATGACTTGATGTCATAATCCTTATTTTGCAGTTTTTGGTGAAATGTACTCTCTGAGAACAGGTTATTGGTACAATAATGTTTTTATGCATAATTTTTTTAGGTTTGCCAAATTCATTTTCTTATTCTTAGGTAAATCTGGGCAAGATATATTAGACCAGAATTTTTTAAAGAATGGATACATTTTGAAGATGATAATTGTTAAAGAATATAAAGCATTATGTACAAGAATCAAACC